CCTGCTCCAGGTTCTCTGATGCCTGGTCTTTGTGGGTGCAGCCATGCAGAACTGAGTTTCTCTCCCAGCCCGGTGCAATAGACCTTTTTTTTTTTTTTTTTTTTTTTGGCAATTAGGGTTAAGTGACTTGCCCAGGGTCACACAGCTAGTAAGTGTCAAGTGTTTGGTCTGAGGCCGGATTTGAACTCAGGTCCTCCTGACTTCAGGGCCAGTGCTCTATCCACTGTGCCACCTAGCTGCCCCCAACGCAATAGACCCTTCCAATCAACCACCCAGGTTTTCTTGGGCTGGAAATTTGTTTCACTCTGTCTTTTTGTGGGTTCTGCTGCTCTAGAATTTGTTTAGAGCCCTTTTTTTAACAGGTATTTGGAGGCATTTGGGGGAGAGCTCAAGCAAGTTACTGCTTTTACTCTACCATCTTGGCTTTGCCCTCACAACAAAACAATTTGAACTGATGTAGGAAGGGTACTATACGGAGATCTTATTTTGAAAAATTAAGAAAACAGACAACAAAAATCAAGGGAAACCTAAATTCTTTTGCCTCAATATTTCAGTAACTTGGGATAGGGACCCCTTTAACCATAATGCCAGGAGGGCCTACCTAAGAGGTTTACCCGCATTTGTTGACTTATGAGATATGTATTCATTTAATCAGTAAAACTGAGATTCAATTGAATTAGCATTTATTAGGGGTCTACTATGTATATGCTAAGAGATAAGGATTCAAAGACATTTAAAAAAGCAGTTCCTGCCCTGAAGGAGTTTATATTCTATTGGGGGAACAATATAAGCACAGCTAGTCAATTCAAAGTGCTTTTGAGGAGAGAGAGGAAAGGAGAAGACCTTGTGCAGAAAGTGGCATCTGAGCTGATTTCTGAAGGGAATGAAGTATTTCAAGAGGCAAAGGTGAGAAGTGGGTTCCCTAGACATAGAAAACAGCTTGTGTCAAGTGACAGAGATGGGATGGCCTGTATGAAGAACAGTAAATAGACCAGTTTGACCAGGATGCAGAGTGCAAGAAGGGCAATGGTGCTTTAACTAACCTAGAGAGACTGGCTAAAGCCAGATTATAAAGAGTTTTAAATGCTGAAAAGATGAGTTTATATTTTATGCTATAGGTAATAAGAAGCTATTGAAGTTTCTTGAACCAGGGGAGCTACATTGTCAAACCTGTCCTTTAAGCCACCCATGATTGAATGGAGAAGGAAGAGACTGAAAGCAGGTGATTATTGCAACAGCCCAGGTGAGTAGCGAGAAGGACCTAAGCAAAGTCCGTGGCTTCATAATTAGAGAGAAAACAATTATAAGAGATGTTATAGAACATTGGCAACTGGGGTGAGGGGAAATGAAGAGCAAAGGATGACTCCTAGATTATGAACCTGGGAGACTGGAAAGTAGTGCCCTCAACAGAAATAGCAAAGTTAGGGGAAGAGTGAGTCTACGGGGAAAGAATGATGTGTTTTATTTTGGATATACCGAGTCTGAGAGGCCAACAGGACAGCCAGAAAACAAAGAGTAGGAAAAATCTTAGAAATTTTTTACATTTTCATGAACTCAATTAACACAGTCTTCCTAACACCAGAGTACCTTTGATTCACTGGCAATAAAATGTTTACTATTGTCTACCCAAAGCTCTTTCCCCAGAGAGAGACACCAGTGACAGGGCTGCACTGGAGTAATTACACTAAAATATACACAGAGATTTCAGCCTTACACAGGCGTCAAATACAAGGAAAACCATATATAGAATAAAAGAGTGTTCTTTAACTTAAAAAAAATTCCCTTATAATATATCTGAAAACATAGTTATCCACCAATGAGTAAAAACGCTACCTACCTCCTGAGAGAGGTGACAGATTGAAGGTACAGACTGAGACATCCATTTTTGAACAGACAATATGAGAAATTATCTTGCTAGACTACCAAATATTAGTTACAAGGGTTTTCTTTTTCTTTTTTTCTTTTCTGGGGAGAGGGGATGTGGGAGAAGGAAGGGGGGGGAAGGAATAATAATTTATATAGAACATACTATGTGCCAAGCACTATGCAAACTATGCTACCCCCTTTGACAAATACCTCATTTGAGGCAGGAGTGCTAGGAATAGGACTGCAAAGCAAAGAAAAAGGAAAGAATGAAATGTGGGTCATTAAAGCATTTTTTTTAAAGCACAGAAAAAAGCATAAAGAAACAGACAAGCCAGACAACTTTATGTACTGAAGTTATTATATACTCAAAAGAAAAAGGAAGCTATACTTAAGAGAATAAGCTACACTTATTCAATTACAATCCTTTTTATCTGTCTTTGTATATCAAAATGCTCATTTTAAAAATTCAGAATAAAAATAAAAAATGTTTAAAGTGATCCAATATTTGCTTGAAGATTTCCAAAAACGAAGAGAAACCATTATATTTTTGTTTTATGTCAAATTTGCCTCTCTTCAACTTTCATCCATTTTTCACAATGGCATTTTCCATACTTGAACTATCATATCCCTCCCCCAAAACCTTCTCTCTTCCAGGCTAAACACCCCCAGTTCCTTTAACCAATCCTCATGAAGCAGTTCTTCATGAACATCCACAACAATCTTATTAAAGAGCTCCCTCTTTTTTTCTTCATTGGAATCTTTTCAGTTTGTGTTTTCAGAATTTAACCCCTGAGAGCTTTCCATCTTCTTAGGCCAACTTTCTCTCTAAAATATCACATCACAGGATCCCATTTATCCCTTTTCTCAACATTGTGAAGTCTACTCTCCCAAAATCTAAAGTACAAATCAGACTACATCTGACTTTCCTCTCCTTCATGCAATCCACCCTCCATAAAACTGTGAAAGTGATATTCCTAAAGCACTAGAATTGACCATGTCACTCTTTTGCTCAAAAAACTCCAGTGGCTCCAATTATCCCTTGGATAAAATACAAAATCCTACTTTCTCTCCTCTTCCAGCGATCAAATTTCAGAAACCTTCTCCTGTGTTTCCTCTTCTCTGCTTCAGCTCCTTTTCATCACAGAATCATAACATTGAAGAACTGATCTTGTCTGGGCCCCACATTTTATGAATAAGGATAATGAAGCCAAGAGAACTGAAGCGATTTGCCCAAGGTTAGTTAGTTTAGATCCTGAAGCTCAGGGTTCTTTCATATGTCTACAGAAACTTCTGAAATTCTTTTCCACCTCCTCACCACCTTCATTCACCTCCACCCTAAAGTTTCACTCTCCTGATTGATGATTCCCCAACTCAGACCAATCAATAAACATTTATTAAGCATCTACTATGTGCCAGACACAAAGGACTCCCAGACAAGTTCACTTCCCTTCCAGACTTCCCCACACCTCTGACAACTACCTTGTCCCCATGTGAGTCTCCTTCCACTCTCTGAACTGATTTCCACCTTCTCCCATTAGAATGTAAGCTCTTTGGGGGGAGAGACTGTGTTTGCTTATATTTGTATCCCCAGTGCTTAGTACAGGACCTATAGATAATAGTACTTAATAAATGCTCTAGCTGTCCACCTAATGTCAAAAACAGAAAGCTGTCTCTTAACAAAATTTTGCAGAAGAAATAACCTCTATCAGACCATGTGTCTCAATTTGATTTTGGAAAATTTTGTCTCTGTAAACTTGTCACACGGCCTCCCTTTCTAACACAGTTTTCATGAAATAAAACAATCAATAATTAAAAATGATGATGTAAATGCCACAGAATCTTAACTATTCCTTATCTTAAAATAGTAACAAGAAACACTAATTAATCCCTAAATTCTTTTTATGAAATAGGTATTTCAATTATAATTTAAATTCAGTAAATATTTCTTAACTGCCTAATGTGTACTCTGCTAGATTATGACCTCCCCACTCCTACCCCACTGGAAATACAACATCCTTTTCTTTGTTAGTGGATTTTTGCAATGTAGAAGAATGCCAGAATGCATAAATTCCTTCTAAGAAAGGAAAGATTGCAGTTTTCAGAGGAAGAAATTAAAGCTATCTATAGTCATACGAAAAAATGCTCTAAATCACTATTGATTAGAGAAAAGCAAATCAAAATGACTCTGAGATACCACGTCACACCTATCAGATTAGCTAACATGACAAAATAGGCCAATGATAAATGTTGGAGAAGACGTGGGAAAACTGGAACACTAATGCATTGTTGGTGGAGTTGTGAACAGATCCAACCATTCTGGAGAGCAATTTGGAACTATGCCCAAAGGGCTATAAAACTGTGCACACCCTTTGACCCAGTAATACCACTTCTAGGTCTGTATCCCAAAGAGATCATAAAAATGGGAAAAGGATCCGCATGTGCAAAAATACAGCAGTTCTTTTTGTGGTGGCAATGAAGTAGAAATTGAGGGGATACCCCTCAATTGGGGAATGGCTGAACAAGTTGTGGTATGTGAATGTAATGGAATACTATTGTACTATAAGAAATGATGGGCAGGCAAACTTCAGAAGAACCTGGAAAGACTTATGTGCACTGATGCCAAGCGAAATGAGCAGAACCAGAACATTGTACACAGTAACAGCCACGCTGCGCAATGACTGACTTTGTTAGATTTAGCTCTTCTGAGCAATGCAATGATCTAAGATAATTCCAAAAGACTCATGATAGAAAATGCTATCCACATCCAGAGAAAGAACTATGGAGTCTGAATGCAGTTGGAAGCATACTATTTGCTCTCCTTTTCTTTTCTTCTGTTTTGTTTCTTCTTTCTCTTGGTTCCTCCCATTAGTTCTAATTCTTCTTTACATCGTGACTAATATGAAAATATGTTTAATATGAATGTATTAGTAGAGCCTAGATCAGATTGCATGCCATCTTGGAAAGCAGGGAGGGAAAGGAAGGGGAGAAAACTTAAAACTCTGAATCTTATAGAAGCGAATGCTGAAAACTAAAAATAAATAAATTAATTATTTAAAAAAAAGGATTTGTGGATAAAAAAAAAAGAAAGTAAAGATTACTAACTGGAGGGAAACTGGGGAAGATAAATGACTCACCTGATATCCTAGCATGAAGATTCTGCTTCATACAAAATTCCTCAGGTTGTGAAAGAGACTGCAGAATTGTCAGAGCTGCCCTTCTTAAGGCGCTGTCAAAAATAGGGAGTACCTCACTGGGGAATGCATTGAAATATTCCCCAATTTCCATGTTCGTCTCAAAAAGAGTCATGGCATCAACCACTACAGGATAGTGAGTATCTTCATCTCTTTCTTTCAAGATCTGTAAGACTTCATTCTTGTGGTATTCTGAAACGTAGGATTCAAACACCTGACCAATCAAGGCGACTTGATCTTTATTCATCTTGGACCTAGGTAGATAGAGAAGGATTTTAAAAGAAGCAACCATAACAAAAATGTACACTCTTCTCACATTTTGAAAGTGAAAAATATACAATCTTAGACAATTTGTGGGTCACCATTTTGCATTAGTTCCCATATAAACTAAATATTAATTAGCATGATAAATCAATTTTTAAAGTCACATTCTCAAGAATAGCTTAATTTTCTATCAGAATTAATGAGCATCTCTTTAAAATCGAGAAACTAGAGCCTAAGGGAAAGAATTATTATTTTAGTCTAAAACTTGATCAAATATCTTTCCCTTCTTCAGCTTAATTTATCTTTCTGTTAGCTTTTCCTTTTTCCTCACTTTCTTAGTATCTAATTGTGTCTATGATACACTAAACACATTTTTGTTTGTTTCTATTTTGTTTAGTTTAGTCTGTTCTGAATAAGCACATTGCTTATGATGCTGCCCCTGCTTATAACCATTTTACAGGTACTGTGAGACTTAGAAACTTACATTTTGAGACTGAGTTCATTCCTAATCTAACCCACATGGAAAACTGCTTCCTCTTCTACATCATTCTTTCATAATTATGTACTTGCAAATTTAAATAATTTTTTCCTGATTCTCTTTATTATATACATAAGGGGTCATAAATTAAAGGTGACTAATGCTCCCTATGGTCAAATTTGAGTGCTTTACATTACTGAAAGAGTATGGAAGGGCTAATACAAATTAATGATCTAAAAAACAAGTACATTGGGTTTCAAAATACTTGTTTATAATTTATAAGTTTGAAGATTGTGAATTTAACTTCCTAAACATTTTTTCAGTCATACTAATACTGATGCATGCTAATACTAATACATGCTAACATCTTTTTTTTTTTCTTTCCAACAAGCAACAGCAGAGTTTGAGTGATGTCAGAAGGAATTTGGGGATATAAGAAAAAGAAATTATTTCATTAGCTGGTAACTAACATTTACATAGTGCTTTACAAATATCTCATTTGAGCCTCATGACAACCCTGGAAGGTAGGTGCTATTATTCCCATTTTACAGATGAGGACACCAAGGCAGAGGTTAAGTGACTTACTCAGAGTCACAGAGCTAGTAAATATCTGAGGTGGGGATTTGAAGTCAGGTCTTCCTGGCTCCAGGCCCAGGACTCTTATCTATTCACTGTGCCACCTATTCCACCTCCATACAAGCCAATCTAGGACTGTGGTGTGAAATCCACAAAAGGATAATAATAATAATGATATTAATAACTCAGATTGCTGCCAAGAGTTATAACAATGTAAAAAGAGCTAGAGGAAAGCCCCTAGCATAGTGGGTAAACTCCCTGAGTGAGGAAGATTTAAAGTCATATGGGCAGAGATATGTTGGGTTGTGAACTTCATCACTGGACAAAAAAAACATCTACATGGATGAAATCACAGATCCATTTAACTATGGGTACAATAAATCACAGGATGTCAAGGCTTGCAAATAACTTTTGTCACAACTCTTTGAGGTAGGTATCACCAAGTGTTATTATCCCTACTTTATAAATGTGGAAAAAGACATACTGCTAATAAGGTTTAAGATTTGAACCCAAATCTCGACTCCAAATTTAGTTTTACCAGTTAATTGGGTGGATCTGTTACTTTTAAGAATCAATTACAAAGGCTGATGTCACGTGATTCCCAAAGCACGGAAGTGAATGATTGTCTATAAAGTTTATACAGTATGTAGCCTAATTAATAAAAACCAAAATAAACTCGGGAAACTGTCAAAACTCTCCAAGTCAAAGAATGCCAACATAGGGTACACATACAAAATACCCATAAGAAAACCTTAAGTGGATCGCAATTATGTCCCTGGGGGGGTGGGGTTTAAAAAAAAATCTTTTGGATTTGCAATATCCCTTCAAATTGAGGACAGAAAAAAAAAAACAGCAAAGACATTTTGGAACTTAACACAGATTGAATTTCTCCTAGAGAGCCCAGCAATTCAGATGCTACCCCACCAATCAGAAATTCTAGCTTTGCACTTAGTTTCAGTGCAAAACTAGGAAGGTAACTTAGTTGACAATTTCCTCAGGCACAATTTGCTAACGTTCTTTGCTCATCCAAACACACCCAGGCTGAGTTCACTTTAGTCCTTTCAAGGCATAAGCAAGAAAATAACAGTTTGCCAAATTACAAGAGCTCACCTTTTTTACTAAGTGAGGGACGGGGAAGCGGTGAAATGTAAAATCTACAATCAGAATTTTGCCTTAATAGGCAATTATGCTACTTCAATCCCACGTAACTCTTATTTACCACCCCTCCCCTCTCCCATCAGAAGTAAAACAGACAAAAAGAACTCTGGGATAATAATAACAGGGAGCATTTAGATAGCGCTTTAAGGTCTATAAAGCGCTTTACCAGTTCTCGCAATGGGCTATCAGAGTTTGCACGGCTGTAGGGAAGGCCCATACCAGGACCCAACTTGGCCAAACTTTCCGGCCCCGCCAGCGTCCCCTGGGAGTCCCATGCCCCGGGCACGGGCCCAGCTCGCCCAGCCCCCGCCCCGCCCCCTGCCTCTGCACCCACCAGCGTGTGCTGCGCAGCGCAGCGGGCAAAAGCGCCCCGAGCCCAGCGCGACCCGCCACCTGGCTCAACGCATTCCGAATAGCACCAGTGGCCCGCAGCGGGCAGAAAAGCAGAGAGCCGAAGGAAGGAGGAGAAAACGACTTCTTTTCACTTACTGGGGAACATCTGTGTCTGGAAACCGCGAAGAACAAGACACCTCGGCGCGCAAAGCGAAGGGCAAACGCCGGCTTCGCAAACCAAGGCTCACCACTCTGGGTTCGGGCGGGCTGGCGGGCGCGGGCGGAGAGGGAGCGCGCGCGCGCGCTGGAGCGGGCACCAATCAAAGGGCGGCGAGGTGAGGGCCGCGGCTGTCGCGCGTTTCTCCGGCGGCGCTGTGGTCGCGGCTGTGCACGTCTCTCACGCGGCAGCGGAGCGCGCCCGGCTGTTGGTCGGGCACTGGAGGCGCACGAGGCGCTTCTCTTTCCTGGCCGAGAGTGGGAGGGGAAGGAGGAGCCTTTCCCGGATGACGCACTCTGCCGGTGGGCGGGACTTAGCTGCGGCGTCTCGTGGAGGCGGGTGGGAGGCGTGGTCCTCTCCCCTTTTACACTCCACGCGCCAGGCAGTCCCTAATGGTCATTTCCATTGCTTTAGTTTGCTAAGCTTTCCTTCCTCTACACTCCCTGTGAAGTAATGCAGATATTACCCCTGCTTTTAAGATGAGGAAATTAAGGCACAGAAACAGGTGAACGACCAGAAAAAGCAGTAAAGGTGCTTTTTAGCTAGGAGGTTAGGAAGTTGGGAAGTGAGGGTTCCAGTCCCTATTTTGAAGTTTGAATGGATGAAAAAATCACTTATTGAACAGGCAGGTAATGATAGAGTGGTATGATTAATACAACGGATCTCCACCAGCTCCCTCTGTGCTCTCCCCCCCAAAAGGTGACAAAGCTGTGCCAGGTCTGGATAGGCCCTTCCGAGCCTCTGGGTGTACTGATGTGGCCTCTTGTTCACCTAAGAATAGATTAAAAAAAAAAACCACTTTAGATGGGTGAGTGTCTCAAGTCATCACATGCTGCTCTGCAGATCAGGTTCAGTATCATACCAAGAACGTTTGCTGTGTAGCACAGTGGATGGAGCACCAGGCCTGCTGTTAGGAGGACTCCTCTTTTCTGAGTTCAAATCCGACTGCCAAAAAGGCAGTGGGGTTAAGTGACCCGCCCAGGGTCCCACAGCTAGTAAGTCTCAAGTGTCTCAGGTCGATTTTGAACTCAGGTCCTCCTGACTCCAAGACCGGAGCTCTATGCACTGCGCCACCTAGCTGCCCCTGCTAAGCACTTTTTAACAAACATTAAGTCATTTGATCCTCACAACTCTGTGAGGTAGGTGCTGAAAATGACATTGTTGACCTACTATCTGCAAGGAACATACTTCGATTGCTTTTCTAAACATTGTTACATGGTAACCCTTTTGTAACTTTTGGCATGCTCTTATTACATAGCCATCTAAAGTTAGGCATGTGGCTCATATATTTTGGAATAGGACTAATGGCTCATATTGGTTTGGAACCATTATCTGGAATTTCTGCACTATTCTCCAGCCAACCATGGCATCAAAGAAAAAAAATTGTCCATTTTGTCACTTACAAGGAAAATGCTACTTTCAGAATTAAAATTGGGAAGCTGTAAGCTATTTTAGTATAATTTAGATTTCACACTGCTAGAATTTCTTCCATTGTTTTCTGTGATTAGAGTAATCTAACTGGGGGCATAGAATACAGCTAGAGTGGGTACTTATGAGGGGAACTAATGAGAATGTCAAACTCCACACCAGCACATGTTGCCCCTGAAATACTTTGTCATCATTGAGATTTTTGAAGTTTTGCCCTTTTCTTTCTTCATTCTCCACCTCACACCTCAGATTAGCTAAAATGACAAAAAAGGTGAATGACAAATGCTGGAGGAACTGTGAGAAAACAGGCACACTAATGCACTACTGGTAGAGCTGTGAACTGGTCCAACCATTCAGAAAAGCAATTTGGAATTATGCTTTAAAAGCTATTCATCTGTGCATATACCCTTTGACCCAGCAATACTGCTACTACATCTATATGTCAAAGAAAGAGGACATGGACCCATATGTACAAGAATAATTATGTGGTAGGGTATGTGTTCTTTTTCTAGTGGCAAGGGATTGGAAACTGAGGGGATGCTCATCAATTAGGGAATGGCTCAACAAGTTGTGATATATAAATGTAATGTAATACTATTGTACTGTAAGAAATGATGAAGGTGATGGTTTCAGAAAAAACCTGGGAAAATTTTTGAACTGATGCAAAGTGAAGTGAGAAAAACCAGGGGTATAATTTATACAATAACAGAAATATTGTAAAGATAATCAACTTTGAAATATTTAGTAGCTCTGTCAACACAATGACCTATCACAATTTCAAAGGACTTGTGATGAAACATGCTATCCACCTTCAGATAGAGAGCTGATAGACTCCTTCCTTCTTTCTTTTCCTATGCTTCTTTTTTTGGATAGGGCTAATGTGGAAATTTGGTTTGCATATTTTATTGCCTTTTCAGTGGGTGGAAGAAGAGGAGGGAGAAGGGAAAACATGCAGAACTGAAAATAAAATTGAATTTTAAAAAGGAAAAATAAAAGCAAAGTAGGGAAGGATAAGACCATTATAGGAATCAACAATGATATTTGTGCCATGCTTCAAGGGGTGTCTGGTGACCACTGTTATAGCTTTGAGCCCACAAATAGCTTCCAAAGCTGTGCTTCAGTTTTCTTGTATTGCATTCCAGAAGAGAACTTTGTCTCCAAAGCCATGTCTGACAACAGCTATTCCAAATTCAACCTTAAGCATATCCTTTCTTGCCACCTTAGAAGTGACTTAACTTCTTACTTCACTTGGAAGACTGAGGTTACTGATTTGAGCACTGTCAGCTCCGCCTCTCAATTCTATTCCTCAAGATTTATTAGCATCATCACCCATTCTTTCCTGTGGTCATCCAAAAAGTATGTCTACTCTCAAAGGCTAATCCCTTTATGTGTGCTCAGAATACTCCTCTAGTCATCCAATCATCTCCCATGTATCTTCAGTTTCTTCCTCTCCACTGTTTCCTTTTGCTTTGCTTATGAACATGTTCAAATCTCTGGAATTCTGAAAAGAAAAAAAATAACAACAAAAACAAAACCCAAACTTTTCATTGACCTTTCTAGTGCATCCAGCTGCTTTCCCATCTGGCTTTGTTACTTCACTCTTGCCTGTTAAAACTTCTTTAAAAAGTTATCTAATTGGGATATCTGCCTACTCTTCCACTCTCCAGACCACACCAATAACAGAAGAAGTGGGCAAACCAAGGATCCTCCTCCTCTTACTTTATAAAGGAAAAAAAAAATGAGGCCATTCAATATGAACTCTCTCCTCTCCCATTCTCTTCTTCTCAGAACCACTTGACACCATCTTCCATTCTTTCCTCCTTTCTTCCATTCTTTGCTAAAGATGTGACCCCTCTTGTCAAGTCCAACCTCTGTAGTTTTCTTCCCTACTGCTTTCAAATATACCCAATTCTCCATCCTTTAAAAAAAACCTTCACTAGACCCTACTATTAGCCTCAAGCTATTTTCTTACACAGAATCATACTGGTAAATGTTTAAAAACAGCTGAGAAAAAATGCATGCACACATACTTTTAAGTTTTATCTGCATTATTAATAATTTCTTAAGTCTAGATGATCAACAAAACAATAAATCAAGCTCTGATTGTAGCAATTGCTGATTTCTGAAAATTTTATCATCTGTTCTAGCAAGCCCTTCTAAAATACCCCTGATCTCATATCTCTCCTCCCTTTCTGAGCTAAACTTCTTGAAAAACTGTCTACAATCCCTGCTTTCTTCTGACTCCTCAACCCTTCACAATCCAGTTTCCAACTTCATCCCTCAACTGAAACCTCTCTCTCAGCCTCTCCAGAAAGACATGGATACAGAAAGGCAGTCACTGAAGAAAACAGCTTCAAGGAACAAGACCTCTGATGGCAAAGAGAGCTAACATTGGACTCAAGGGTGAGAGCTAACCTTGGCAATTGAGAGGTGAGCTGCAGAGAAGAGCAAGCCTTGGAAACTCATCTGAGCTAACTGCCCTGCAGAGATGCTGCACCCAGGTTCCATTTGGACCCAATGAAGATAGAATGGACTTCCAGGCCCTGTAGTACCAGGAATTGTAATTTGCCTTTGCCACACATATATCCTATATGTGTATCTCACTTGAATTTACAAGTTTTAGCCCAGTCTTCTTATTGATCTTTGGTTGGGGATGAGGGAGGAGGATGGCCAATGAGGACAAAGTAATCCTTTCTTTGTATCACCTACAAAACTTTCCATAGTGATTTCCTACTGTTTGTTAAGTTGTATCTACTTATTGTTGAGTTTGACAGCTTGCTACTTTATTCTCATCATGAATCACAAGCCAAATCTTTAGTTGATAGTACACAAACCACATGAGTAGCAGCATTGTTTCAGTTGGTTCATTAGCTTATACTTAGCATTTTTTTCTATTTGTCTTTCTTACATTTGCCTAAATTCCTCTTTCATTTCTAAGGAAAAATAAATTTTAATGTAGAAAAATCTACTCCTATTAATTTTTTTTAAAAAGAGAGGTGAGGGTAGTATAGAAGTGAAATGTTGCATACACTTTCAGATGTGCTCATATTGTTAGTTTTACTAATATTTTACTTTGTAATTTTTACAAATTACTTTAGTAATTTCTTATAGTAATTTAAGTAAATTACGTATAGTAATTTTTACTGATTACTTTAATAATTTACTATTTGCTAATATTATTACTTTAAAATAATTTTACTTTGTTATAAGACCTTTAACAAAGACACTTATAAATGTATATAATGTAAACAACCAAACACATCAATAACATTTTATTAAAGAATTAATGTACAGCAGAGTTCATAAATGACCATCTGTCTCCTCCCCTCCTTTTTTTTTTATTAAGCCTGTGCAATATTTGCACAGCTTTGATTCCTCAGCTTTATTTAGGAAGAGGATTGAGAAGTATGAGAAATAAATGTCAATGACATTTTTTCTCCTGAGAATTAGTCTCCCTATCTCTCATAGGCTGGAAATGCGGGAGCCTTTCACAGGCTCAATACCACTACTGATCAGCATGGGAGATTTTGAAAACCTGTTCCATTTCTACCCTGGGCTGTTCCACCCTCTTTAGGCAACCTGGAGGTTTTCTCCCTCTCTCCACTCCCACAGACTCTCCATAT